GCGCCGGTGATCGTCGCGCGCGCGGGCGGCGACCTCGGCTCGCGCAGGCGCCCGGCGGAGGCGGTCGTCGTCGCGCGCGGCGGCGGCGGCGACCTCGGCGCGAGGGCGACGACGACGACGACGACGACGACCGCCGCGGCGTCGGTCGATCTCGGCGAGCCGGACTCCGAGGACGAGGACGAGATCGCGCGGCGACGCGCGGCGACGCGCGCGCGGATCCTAGCGCGGCAGAAGGAGGAGGAGGACAAGCACATGCTGCCGATCATGGACGAGGACGACGACGACGGCGGGCTGCTGGCAGGGCTCGGCGTCGGCGGCGGGACGATCGGCGTCCGCCCCGGCGGCGGCGGGATGATCGGCGGCGGCGGCGACGACGCGAGGGCGACGACGACCGCGCCGCGCCCGGTGGGGAAGTTCGCGGGGAAGAAGTTCACGCTGAGCGTGGACGACGACGACGCGACCGCCGCGGCGACCGGGACGACGGCGACGGGCGATCTCGCCGCGGCCGCCGCCGCGGGCGCGTCCGCCGCCGCCGCTGCCGCCGCCGACGACGACGACGGCAGCTCGTCGTGGGAGACGGACACGGACGCGTCGGACTCGGACGACCCGGGCGGCGGCGGCGGCCCCGGACGCGTCATGGTCAAGCCCACGTTCGTGCCGAAGCGTCAGCGCGAGACGATCGCGGAGCGAGAGAAGGTGGAGGCGGAGATGGACGCGGAACACGAGCGACGCGAGGCGCACAAGCGGAAACGCGCGACGGAGAGCAAGCAGCTCGCCGCGATCGAGGTGGACATGGAGAAGCAGATCGCCGCGATGGAGGCGGCGAACGACCAGGGAGGGACGAACAGGATGTCGGACGTCGACACGGACGACGACCCGGACGACGTCGCGGCGTTCGAGGCGTGGCAGCGGAGGGAGCAGGCGCGGCGGGAGCAAGAGGCGGAAATTCGAAGGAAGTTCGTCGAGGAACGCGAGGAGCAGGAGCGCATCCGAAGGATGTCCGAGGAGGAGAAGGAGGCGTGGCTCGCGGCGAACCCGAGGGAGAACGCGGAGACGGGAGGGAAGGAGAAGCAGAAGCTCGGGTTTCTTCAGAAGTACTACCACAAGGGGGCGTTTTTCCAGGAAGCCGCGGACGATCCGGCGAGCTCGATGGGGACGGACGACATCTACAAGCGCGACTTCAACCAGGCCACGGGCGCGGACAAGGTGGACAAGAGCGCGCTGCCGAAGGCGATGCAGGTCAGGGGCGACGCGTTCGGGAAGATTGGACGGACGAAGTGGACGCACCTCAGCGCGGAGGACACGACGTTCGCGGGCGGGGACAACGTGTGGGCGGACGCGCGGAACAAGAGGGTGGGCGAACTGGCGGAGAAGGGCGCGGGGCGGAAGCAGGAGTTTCAAAAGCCGAAACGGATCGACAAGTAGGCGCCCGCCCTGTGGTCGGGATGGGGCGACGCGATGGATGGCGTCGCGGAGGTTCGCGGAGGTTGTACATCGCGCACGACACGGAACGCGAACGCGACGACGCGGACGAAGTTCTCGTTCTCCTTCGAAAATGTAATCCCAGCCATCAAGTCTTCGAGACCACGCCACGCCACGCCTCGTCCACTTCCCTCGCACTTCCCTCGCGCGCGGACCGCGGGGCGGGATGCCGCGCGGCGGGAACGCGGCCGCGTCGTCGTCGTCGCCGGCGCCGGCGCCGGGCGACGGCGGCGGCGTCGTCATTCCGGGAATCAACGACGGCACCCTTCACGGCGGCGACACCGTGTTCTACCTCGGCGCGCACGACGACGCGAAGGAGACGCACAGGGTGAAACCCGTCTGCGGTACGGCGTTGATGTTCAGGCACGGCGCCGCGTGCGCGCCGCACGCGTCCGAGGCGGTGCAGCGAGGAATTAAAATCGTATTGCGGTCCGACGTCGTTTTCAACTGACGCGACCGGACCGACCGGGAGGTATGGGCACTATTCTAGGAAGGTAGGTAGAAGACATAATACAGTAACGATAGACAGCGGGCTAGCTAGACGCTAACGCGATGCGGAGGACTCTTCTCTCGCGGCGACTCTCAGCGCGCGTTCGATCTCTCGGTTCGTGAGCGACAAACCGAACCGCTCGCGGAATATTTTCCTCACCGCGCGCGTCGACGACGGCGGCTTCCCCTGCTCCGCCGCCCTCGCCCGTGCCGCCCTCGCGACGCGCACGACGGTCTCGTCCAGCAGCCCGACGCCTTCGCCTTCGCCGTCGCCGTCGCCGCCGGCGCCGACGCCGACGCGAAGCGCTTTGACGCGCCGCGCGAGCTGGAACAACGCCGCCGCGTCCCTGGACATCAGCGGCGCCGCGTTGAGCACGCGTTCGAGGCCTCGGTCCTCTCTCGCGTCGAGCGCCTCGTCCGCGTCTTCCACGTCATCTCCCGCCACGTCATCTCCTGCCGCCACGTCGTCTCCCGCCATTTCATCTCCCGCGCCGTCCCCGTCCCCGTCCGACCCCGCCTCGCACGTCAGCACGTCCAACGCGCGTCGCGCGCGCAAGAGTTCGCGCTTCAGCGCGGTCTTCTCCCCGACGGTCATCAGCCGGTCCCTCGGGACGTCGATCTTCCCCTCGCCGACGGTCCGCGGCGTCGTCGTCCGCGTGCCGGCGTCGGTGCCGGCGACGGTTGACGTTCCATCTTCCGCCATGTTGACCACCTCGTCCGCGGCGAGAAACATCTCGTACGCGATCACGCCAACCGCCTGCGAGAGGTTTAAACTCGTCGGCCCCGTGCCGCCGGTGTACTTGAGCGATTTCCGACACAGAGACCCCTGCCCCGCGGTCGGGATCGCCACCGCGGCGTGCGCGGTGCCTAGCTCTTCGTTCGTGAGCCCCGTGCGCTCGTTTCCGAACAGCACCGCGACCTTGCCGCGCTTCGCCTCCGCCGCGAGGAGTTTCGCCGCGTTTCGCGCGGTGACGAGAGGGACGTTTTCCCGCGGCCGCGCCGTCGTCGCCTGCTTGGGCAGAGGTGAAACGCATCGAGGTGGGGCGTTAGTTGAGAGGCGTCGCGTAGGTCGAGCGAGCGTTGAAACCGATCGTGGCGTGGGCGGAGAGAAACGAAACGCGCGCGCGAGGGAGAAAGTCCTTAAGGAATGAAGTTCACAACGCGAACGCGGTCGTATGGGAACCAGTTTGAGAGTAGGACGCGCCATGACGAACGTGACGTCGTCGAGCGCGTCCACCACGGACGCGTGCCGCGTGCTGTCCGCGAGGATCCAGTCCGCGGCGCACGCGAACCGGTACGCCTCGTCGCACAGCCTCGGAGCGGCGTCCGACGTGGCGTCCGACGTGGCGTCCGACATGGCGTCCGACGTGGCGTCCAGCGTCGGTCGCAACGCCGGCGGGAGGTTTTCCGTCCCGAGCCCGTCGGGGCCGAGCGCCGCGCCGGAGTTCACGCCGCCCTCGCCGTTCGCGCCGTCCGGTGCCGCCGCCGCCGCCGCGTCGGATGCCACGTCGGATGCCACGTCGGATGCCACGTCGGATGCCAGCACGAACGGTCCCGGGTTCACGATCCTGAGGTCGTACACGCCAAAGTTTTGCATCACGCGCGCGACGGCGCCGACGTTTTGCGGACCTTGCGGCCCGCACAGGACGAAGCACACGTTCCCCAAGAGCGCGTGCGAGGAGAGGACCTCGTCTCTGTCGTGAGGGTTTAGGGTTTATGGTTTAGGGTTTAAGGGAGAGAGAGAGGGGATGGATGAGCGGATGGACGAGGTCGTCGGACGGGACGGGCGGACGACGCGGGGGAGCGAGCGCGTCGTTCATCAGGGATGTCAGGGTCGCGGTGGCGATCGATGTCGACGTCGTCGTCGCGTCCCGACGACGCTCGCGACGACCGACGCGCGGCGCGGCGCGCGCGCCGCGGCATCGGGCGGCGGCGGCGGCGGCGGCGATGACGACGACGTCCGAGCACGAGGCCGCGCGCGCGCACCTCCACGGCGGCGCCGCGATGGCGTCGTCGTCGCTCCCCGCCGCGGCGACCGTCGACGCCGAGATGCGTCGCCTCCGCGCGACCGCGCGAGAGGCGACGACGCGGCGGCACGACGACGACGACGACGACGACGCGCGCGCAAGTCTCGGGAGGAGCATCCTCGGGATGCCGCCCACGAGCGCGAGGCACGGCGCCATGTCGCGCGTCGGACGTATCGCGCGCGCCGACGACGAGTGACGAGGCCTCGCGTTGTCTGAGGCTGTGGCTGCAGAAACAGCAGCGCGCGGCGCGCGCCGCGTCTGCGCTGAGCTCGGGGCGAGCTCGCGCTCCGCTCGGGTCAACAACGGCACCAGCGATGCTGTGATCGTTCAAAAGTTGCAACGAACAGACGGCGCGCCCGCGCACTCCCGAGGGCCGCCTCGTCGCCGAGGATGGGCAAGAAAGGGAAGAGGAAGAACCCCGGCGGGCGGGGGAACGTCGCGGCGGCGGCGGAGCGCCGCGCGGCGGCGCCCGCGCGTCCTGCGCGGGACGACTCGGCGGATCCGAGGATCTCGCGCGAGGACGACGACGGGGACGACGCGAGCGCGCGCGGCGTCGCGTCGCCGCCGCCGCCGCCTCCGCGCGCGTCGCCCGCGCCGTCGTCCGTCGCGAACGACGACGACGCGTTCGCGACGCCGTCCGGCGCGTCGCGCGCGCCGTCGAGCGCGCGCGAGACCCCGGGCAGCGCGTCGCTCGGCGCGTCGTCCTTCGCGACGCCGCGCTCGATGGCGTCCTCCGCGTTCGCGTCGCCGGCGACCGCCGCGTCCGCGTCCGCGTCCGCGTCCGCGTCGTTTCCGAAGACGCCCGGGACCGCGGGCGAGATCGGCATCGACGGCGACGCGTGGGCGAGAGAGGCGGCGCGCGCGATGGAGGAGGAGCGCGCGCGACTCGAAGCCGCGCGACGACGCTTGGAGCGCGCGGTCGAGACCGCGGAGGAAGCGTCGCTCGAGATCGACGACGACGACGCCGCCGCTGACGACGCGCCCGCCGTAACCGCGCGCGGACTCGGACTCGAGGACGCGGACGTCTCGATCGAAGAGCACTCTCTCCTGGACGTCTCGTCGTCCGAGTCGCCGCCGCCGAACGACGCGAGCGCGTTGGACCCGAACGTCTCCATCGAGCTCGTGGACCAATCCATCGAGGAGCACTCGCTTCTCGACGCGTCGTCGTCGTCGTCGTCCGCGCGGTCGAGCGCGGGGAGCGAGGACCTGTCGATGCCGCCGGGGCGGACGACGACATCGCCGAACAAGGCGGTGGTTCCGGCGCGGTCGTCGCCGAGCGCGAGCGCGAGCGCGTCGCCGACCGCGTCCGCGGCGGCGTCGCCGAGCGGTACGCGGACAAGGGATGAGAAAGTCCTTAAGGAACGGCGTTCACCACGCGAACGGGGTCGTATGAGGACCAGTGTGAACGAGAACGCCGACGTCTCCTCGTCGCCCGCCGCCGAGGACATGGCGCGACGACGCCGACGCCGAATGCGACCGAAGGCGATGACGTTCGCCGGGCAGCCCCTCGCGCGCGTCGACGAAGTCGTCCGCGGCGAGTCCGAGTCCCCTTCCTCGTCCGCGTCGGGGATCTCCGAGGGCGACGACGACGACGACGACGAAGACGACGAAGAACGCGAAGAGAAACAGATCGAGGTTTTCGACGACGACGACGGGAACGAATCCCCCGGCTGGCTCGACGGCTGGCTCGACGGCATCGGCGCGCGGCTCGGGTTTTTCGACGACCACGACGCGCCGCCCGACGTTCTCCTCCCTCCGTCCCTCCTCCTCTCGGAGCACGACGCCGCGGCGAGGATACAGGCGCGGCACCGCGGGCGCGTCGCTCGCGTCGCGGTCGCGGCGCTTCGAGAGGAGGACGCCGCGGCGAGGGCGATGCAACGCGCGCGGCGCGCGGCGGTGGCGAAGCGCGAGCGCGTCAGAGCGCGCGCCGCATCGCGCGTGCAAGCCGCCGCGAGAGGACGCGCGGCGCGGCGCGAGGCGGCGCGAAGACGCGCCGAGCGCGACGCGAGGCGAGCGGCGGCGACGGCGATTCAGACCGCGTGGCGCGGGTTCGTCGCGGTCTGCGAGGTCATGGCGCGCAGGGAGGTGAGGGATCTGAAGATCGCCGCGGCGACGCGGATACAGAGCGGCGTCCGAGCCGCGGCGGCGCGCGTGAGGGCGAGGGCGTTGCGCGCGCGACGCGACGCGTGCGTGATGATTCAAAAGTGCTTCAGAGGCGCGGCGGATCGCGCGCGGGTTAAGAAGGCGCGCGAACGCGGGGGGGGCGTCCTCGCCGCGGGGACGATTCAAGCCGCCCATAGAGCAAGGGCGGCGCGCGCGGAGGCTAAATGTCGCCGCGCGGCGATCGCGCGCGAGCGCGCGGCCTCGACGATTCAAGCCGCGCAGAGAGCGAGGGCGGCGAGGCGCGAGCTCGCGAGGTTGAGAGAGCGTCGCGACCGCGTCCGCGCGGCGACGGCGATTCAAGCCGCGCAGAGAGCGAAGGCGGCGAGGCGCGAGCTCGCGAGGTTGAGAGAGCGTCGCGACCGCGTCCGCGCGGCGACGGCGATTCAAGCCGCGCAGAGAGCGAGGGCGGCGAGAGACGAGCTCGCGAGGTTGAGAGAGCGTCGCGACCGCGTCCGCGCGGCGACGGCGATGCAAGCGATGCGCAGAGGCGCAGAGGCGCGAAGAGAGGTGAATCGCCTGCGCGAGCGCGAGGCGAGGCGACGCGCGGAGAGCGCGCGCGAGCGCGCGGCCGCGACGATTCAAGCCGCGCAGAGAGCGAGGGCGGCGAGGCGCGAGCTCGCGAGGTTGAGAGAGCGTCGCGACCGCGTCCGCGCGGCGACGGCGATGCAAGCGATGCGCAGAGGCGCAGAGGCGCGAAGAGAGGCGAATCGCCTGCGCGAGCGCGAGGCGAGGCGACGCGCGGTCGTCCTGATGCAGTCCGCGCGCCGAGCGAAGGTGGCGAGAGACGAGCTCGCGCGTCGCCGAGCCGCAGAGCGCGCGCGCGTCGCGGCGGTTCGCATCCAAAGCGCGTTCCGACGCGCGGCGGCGCGAAGGGAGGCGAATCGCCTCAGAGAACTCGAGACGCGAGAGCGGCGGCGCGCTGCGGCGACGACGATTCAGCGCGCGTACGTCGCCGCGCTCGCGCGGCGGGACCTGCGCGCGCTCGAGTCGGCGCGTCGCGCGCGTCGCGCGGAGGCGACTCGCGCCGCCGCGACGACGATCCAGGCGCGCTGGAAGGGTGCGAAATCGCGGAGGGCGTTTCGGACGACGCGCGACGCGGCGATCGTCGCGCAGGCGGCGCGACGCGCCGCCGTCGCGCGCCGACGCGCCGACGCGGCGCGTTTGGAGCGCCGCGCGAGGGACGCCGCGGCGACGCGGATACAGACGGCGCACAGAGCCGCGGCGGCGCGGAAGGCGCTCGCGACGCGCCGCGCCGCCGCCGCGTTGGGCATCTCCAATCTCTCGCTCGCGCTCGCCGCCGCCGCGGACGACGAGGTGGGCGCGCGCGAGATGACGCGGCTGGAGCGCGAGGCGGTCGCCGCGGAGGAGTCGGCGGCGGCGCACCTCACGACGGCGGCGAGGAAGCGCGCTGAAGCGGCGGCGGCGGCGTCGGACCGCGTCGCGCTGTTGGAGACGACGGCGGCGGCGTGGCGGACGCGGTTGGAGGGGTTGCGGTCGCGCGAGACGGCCACCGCGGCGCCGTCGTCCATGGTTTCTTCAATCGCACGGGAATCGATCCCGACCTCGACCTCGATATCGGCCGCCGACGCCGACGCCGACGCGCTGGCGCTGGCGGCGGCGCCGTCGGACGACGATATCGAGGTCGAGGTCGGGATCGACTCCCGTGAGATTGAAGAAACCTTGGACGACGACGACGAGCTCGACGTCACGCGCGTGAGCCCCGGGACGATCGACGTCGCGGTGGACGCCAACACGCTCGCGCTCCTGCGCGACGTGCGCGGCGCCGGGGGCGCGACGGGCGCGGGGTCCTCTCGCGGTGGGTCCCCGTCGTGCTCGAACTCGAACGCGGGCGGCGGCTCGCCGATCGAACGCGCGGCGGCGCTCGCCGGGTTGAACGCGTTGCGGTCGATGACGCGCGCGTTATCTCCCGCGCGGTCCGCGTCGTCGTCGCCGTCGCCGTCGCCGCGCGCGTCGTCGCCCGTCCGCGCGGGCGCGTCGACAGCGCCGAAGAAGTCGCCGTCGCCGTCGCCGCTGTCCGCGTTCGTCTCCGCGCTCGCCGCGTCCGCGGACGACGGCGGCGGCGGCGCAAACGATCGACGCGGCGCCGTTTCCGCCGCGGGGGGAATCGATTCCCCCAGTCTCGTCTCGATCGTCGCCGAGGAAGCGCGCATCGAGGCTGAGCTCTTCGGGATCGGCGAGAAGCTCACCGGCGCGGCAGTCGCAGGGAAGGAGACGGAGAAGGACGCGGAGGACGACATCGCGCAGGTGAGGGCGCTGCCGGAGTCCATGACGAAGAAACCGCCGCCGCCGCCGTCGGAGAAGGAGGAGGAGGAAGGCGCGCGGGCGTCGACTGAGGACGCGCGGGAGGAGACGTCTTCGGAGCCGCGCGCGAACGACGCCGCGCCGACGCCCTCCGCGGAGCCGAACCCTCCTCGCTCCCCCGACGACGACGACGCGGCGCCATCCTTCGGACGTCTCCCGCGCGGGACGCATCGCTCGTGGGCCAAGACGCCCACGGCGATCTCTTCCGTGCGGCGCTCGCGCGAGGACATCGACGCCGTCGTTCGCGAGCGCGACGCCGTCGTGGACGAGCTCGCGCGGCGGCTGCCGCACGAGTCCGTGCGCGCGTCGCTCGCGCTTCGACTGCGCGGGAGCGGGAGCGGTCGAAACGCGGGCGACGGTGGCGACGGTCCGGGTCCGGGGTCCGCGGCGCGGCGGCGAAAGTCGAGATCGCTGCGCGCGTCGGTGGATCGCGCGCGCGCGTCGTTGAAGACGGATGATCTCGACGCGCTCGAGCGCGACGTCCTCGACGCGGAGAGGGCGGAACTCGCGCGGCGGCGCGGCGGGCTTCGCGGCTCGTCCGGGCTCGATGCGGCGTCCGGGCTCGACGCCGACGCCGTCGCGGACGCGTTGCTCGCGTTCGCGACGCCCGCGGCGGCGGTGGCGGCGTCGGCGTCGAAAACTCCGGGCGGCGGCGGCGTTTGGCGGCGGCGCGGGCGACCGCTCGACGGCGACGTCGAGCTCGATATCGCGGCGAACGCGTCGACGTCGCGGCCGTGGAGCCGCGTCGGGAGTCGAGGCGGGAGCCGCGCAACGTCCCCGGCGCGTCGGCGCGCGATCGACGCGCTCGCGGCGGAACGCGACGCCGTCGTCGAGGAGCTCGCGCGACGCAAATCAGCGGCGGCGACGGCGACGGCGACGGCGAACGCGGACGCGGACGCGACCGCGACGACGGCGACGGAGACTTCCAAGTCACAGGACGCCGTCGCGAGCGCGACCGGGGACCGCCTCGAGGCGTGGAAAGCGCGCATGGAGCGCGAGATCGTGGATCTCCGTGCCAAGGTTGCCATCGCGGAAGCGTCAAAGGCGAACGCGTCGCCGCCGCCCGCTGCCGCTGCGCCGACCGCGACGCCCTCGAGGGACGCGGGGACGCGCGCGACGCCGCCGTCGTCGTCGCCGCCGCCGCAGCGCGAACCGTGGAAACCGTGGGGCGCGTCCGCGCCGGCGTCGCCGTCGTCGTCGCCGCTCGTCGCGGCGAAGGCGTCGCCGTCGCCGTCGCCGTCGCCGTCCGCGTCCGCCGTCGTCGAAGCCGACGCGCCGACGCCGCGCGCGCGGCTCCAACGCGAGCCGTGGAAGCCGTGGTCGAACGCCGCGCCGCCGTCGCCGACGCCGCTCGCCGCGATGGACGACTCGACGCGCGACGCGGACGCGGACGCGGACGCGAACGAGAGAGAGGACGACGCGCGAGAGGCGCCGCCGACGATGCTCGGTGACGCGACGCGCGCGACGAAGCGCGCGACGACGCCGACGCCGACGCCGACGCGCCCGAGGTCGCCGTCGCCGAAACCGAGAACGGCGTCTCCCGCGCGTAAAGCCGCGGCCGCGGCGGTGCGCGCGTACAAAGACGCGTCGCCGTCGCCGTCGCCGTTGCCGGTCGCGGTCGTCGCGGAGGCTGCCGCGACGCGCGGAGACGAGAACGCCGCAGACTCGGACTCGGACGACTCCGACGACGACTTTGGCTTCGCGTCCGTCGCCGCGATGCCGCTCCCCGGCGCGGCGCTCGGCGGCGTGCTCGCGACGTCGAAGGAGAAGAACGCCGCGGAAGCGGCTGCCGCGGCGGCGATGCGTTCGCCGTCGCCGTCGCCGTCGCCGTCGCCGTCGCCGAGGAGGATAACAGACGCGTCGAGGCGGTCGATGGAACGCCGCCGTCTCGCCGCGGAGGCGCCGGCGTCGCCGCCGCCGCGGACGAAATCGCCGACGCGTTCGCCTTCGCCGCGGACGAAGACGCGCGCGCTCGAGAGGAAGAACGCGGCGCCGAGCCCGAATCGGTTCGCGACGACGCCCGCCTACGCCGCGCGCGTCGTCGTCGACGTCTCCACGTCGTCCGCGTCCGCGACGCCGACGCGGACGCCGAACGACGGACGCGCGACAAACTTTTTCGGCCTTCCGATTGAACGCGAACGCGACGGCGACGCGGACTCGTCCGACGACGGCTTCGACGCGCGCGCGCGCTCGTCCCGGGCGAGATCGAAGAGGAACGACGCCGACGACGTCGCCGACGCGTGGGCGGCGGAGGCGACGAAGAGAGCGTTCGAATCGTCGGACGACGACGACGACGCGTCGGACGTCGTAGACGCGGCGTTCGCGTCGACGCCGCGTCCGTCGTCGACGCGGTCGCCGCGTCGAAGCCGTCGTCGGGTCGAATCCATCGACGACGACGACGACGACGACGCCGAGGACAGCGACGACTCGTTCGACTCGCGGTTCGACACGTTCGTGCGGTCGTCCGCGAAGAAGGCGTCGGCGTCGCGCGGCGAAGCGTCGTTCGAGGCGAGGGTTCTGCGGTCGCTCGGGAGCGCGTCCAAGAGCGCGTCCAAGCTTCGGAGTCGTTCGCGTTCGCGTTCGCGCGCGCCGCCGTCGCCGCCGAGCTCCGCGACGAGGAGGACCACGCCGAATCGCGCGGCGGCGAAGAGCGCGGGAGGGAGCAGCGCGGGGCGGCGACGCGCGACGTCGTCGTCGTCGTCGCCGTCGCCGCCGCGGCGCGGCGAGGCGGAGGATCCGGAGGAGTCGTCGTTCGAGCGCGGGTTCCGGTCGTTCGCGCGCTCGTCCGCGAAGAAAGCGACGTCGTCGTCGTCGTTCGAGGCGCGGTACTTGAGGTCGTTCGCGAATCTGGAAGACGAGAGTCTCCGCGAGAGTCTCCGCGGCGGCGGGAGCGCGTCAAAGAGGGTCTCGGCGACGCCGACGCGTCCGGCGGCTCCGGCGCCGTCTCCCGCGACGTCGATCGACACCGTCGCGAGCGCGGCGCGCGACGACTCCGTCGAGAGCTCGTTCGACGAGCGGTTCCGGCGGTACGCTTCGAATCGCGGGACTTTTGGCGCGAAGACGCCGACGCCGACGACGACGCGGGAAGCCGCCGACGCGCGAGTCTTTTCGTCGGCCGCGGCGCGCCTCCCTTCGACGCCGGAGGCGGCGGCGGAGGAGGACGACGGCGGCGCGTCTTCTCCGGAGAAGGCGCTTGACGCGGCTGATGAAGTCCTTCTTAAGGATCGGCGTTCACCACGCGAACGCGGTCGTACGGGGACCGGCGTACCGCGTCGCGTGATGACGGACGACTTCGAGGCGTTCTTCGTCGACACCGGCGGCGCGGACGCGTACGACGCCGCGCTCGCGGCGGCGATCGCGCCGCCGCCGACGGCGATCGACCGACCGGGGGGAAGAGAGACGACGTCGCCGCCGCCCGTGACGGCGACGGCGACGGTGACGTCGTCGCCGTGGCGGAGGAAGATTGAAGACGCGGCGGCTGCGGCGATGCTTCGCGCGCAGATCGACGCGCGGTTCGAACGGGAGATGGCGGACTCGATCGCGGCGGCGGCTGCCGCGGCGAGCGCGGCGATCGAGGCGCGCGTCGTCGCGGAAGAGGCGGAGGAGAAGGCTTCTCACGCGCTCGCCAGCGTGGACGTGAACGCCGCGACGACGACGACGAAGGCAAAGTCGAAGAAGACGACGACGACGGCGAAGGGCGCCGCGAAGGGCGCCGCGACGAAACCGAGCGCGAAAGTGACGTCGAGCGGGTACGGGTACGGCGCGATCGCCGCGAAGAGGGCGGCGGCGACGAAGCCGCCGAAGAAGTCCACCGCGACGACGGTCGCCGCGGTCGCCGCGCCCCCCGCGGCGGCGGCGGGTTCGGCGAAGAAGAAGATCGTCAAGAGGAAGAAAACCGCCGCCGCGACGACGACGGCGACGAAGCGTCTCGAGAAGACGCGCGTCGTCGCCGCGGAGCGTCCGAGGCAGTGGCATTGAGGCGAGGAGGGATGGGTTCGCGGCGCGGCGCGGCGCGCGAAGATAGGCACACGTTAGATAGAGCTCCCCGAGCGACGCCCGACGAGGCTGCGGGCGTTTTTTACGTTTTTTATCCACTTCGGATCAAACGGCGGACAGGACGACGCGACGAACCTCTCCTCTCCATCGCGCGGCGGAGGAGGTCACACCCACCCGCCCGCCGCCTTCGCGAGCGACGCGAATGTCCTCGTCCGCGATGCCGGCGCGGATCCACGCGTCCTCCGCGCCGACGCCCGCGCCCGCGCGTCGCGTCGCGCGACCGTCGCGCCATCAGGCGGACGGCGCGCGGCGCCGACGCGGCGTCGTACCTCCGTCGCCATCCTCTTCCCCGTCCTCCTCCGTCGCCGGCCCTAAACCTCTCCGGAGCGTCCCCAACGGCGGCGAGGCCGCGGCGTCGACGGCGTCCAACGAGCCGGGCCGCCCCGTGGGGAAACCCCCGCCGCTGCGCGTCGCGATCGTCGGCGCGGGGCCGTGCGGGCTCGTCACCGCGATCGCGCTCCGAAAGTTTGGGATCGACGACGTCACGATCTTCGACCGGTACCCCACGGTGCGGCCCGCGGTCGGCGCGGCGTTCAACCTGAACGGCGGCGCCGCGATCCTGGATAAGCTCGGCCTCGGGAAGATCTTCAGAGACCTCGCGAACCCGATGACGCGCGTCCGAGCGCGGCGCGTCGGCGGCGATCGAATCACGCTCATGGATCTGAACGTGCCGAAGATGATCATGGACGATCCCGTCGCGTCGACGACGCTGACGTCCTCGGAGCACCTCCCCGAGAACCTCCCGAGGGAACTTCGGGACGAGAGGGACGTCCTGTGCGGGACGGTGTTGCGCGCGGATCTGTTGGAAGCGTTGAGTGAAACGCTCCCGGAGGAGACGTTATCCGGACTAGGGAAGGACGTGACCGGCGCGGAGACGTCGCCCGGCGGCGGCGCGAGGCTGCTCTTCGGGAACGGCGAGAAGAGCGACCGGTTCGATCTCGTCGTCGGCTGCGACGGGATTCGATCGAAGATACGAGAGTCCATGCCGGGGATCGGACGGTCGGGGGCGAAATACGGCGGGATACGCATCCTCTTCGGCGTCACCGGGGACGCGACGCCCGAGACGTCGTCGGCGAGGAGAGAGGGGGAGCGAGGGGAGGCGCACCAGTGGTTCGGAGACGGGTGTTACACCCTGGTCTTCACCGGCGGAGGGGAAGGACGCAAGCGCGATAACGTCGCCGTGTGCGTCGCGGACGACGGTGGGGTCACGAAGCGCAGAGACGAGAACGCGGGGTGGCTCAAGATGGGATCCGTCGACGACGTCGACGACGACGCCGACGCCGCCGCCGCCGACGAGAGAGGCCGATCGAACCGGGCGTCGAACGCGATCGCGAGAGAGGAGGTCATCGCGACGATGGAGCGATACGGCATGCCGAGAGAAGCGATCGACGTCGCGGCGTCGTGCGAGCGGTTTTTCGACATCGGCGTGCACTACCACGACCCGATACCGTCGTGGAGCGACCCCACCGGAAGCCTCGTCCTCGCGGGCGACGCGTGCCACGCGATGCCGCCGTTCTTAGGCCAGGGCGCGAACCAGGCGTTTCAAGACGCGTACGTGCTCGCGAGGAACCTCAGCGCGGTGCGAAGCAGCGGCGGGAAGAGCCTCAGCGGCGCGTTCGAGAGCGTCAAGGCGGCGATGGACGCGTACGAGGCGACGCGGAAGCCGTCGACGACGAGGATCATGCAGAGTTCGCGGGTCATCGGCTTCGTGGAAACGGGGAGCGGGCCGGTCGCGTTCGTCAGGGACGTCGCGTTCGCGGGGCTGGGCGCGACGGGGCTCGTCGGGAAGATATTTCTTCAGAACGCCTCGCTCGCGATAGGCGAGGAGGACTAGTGGTGGGACCGCCCACGCGACTCGGTCGCGGAGTAGAACGACAAGAAGCAAACAAACACAGCAAACAAACGCGAAAATCACGCAAGCAAAACACTCGACGACGCGAAGAGACCGGGGGACGCGATTCGACTCGACTCGACCCCCCTCCGCGACGCATCGCATCACGCCGCCGCGACGAGCGCGAGCGCGTCCTCCACGGTCGCGCACTTCTTCAGCGCGTCCACGTCCACCTTCGGGCACCTCTCCGCCGCGGACTTCACGACGTCAACCTCCTCGCCGTCGCCGCTCTCGAGCATCGCGCCGACGAGCGTCGTCCCGTCTGATGAGGATCGTTCCGTACGAGCGAACCGAACGTCGGGGTGGAGTTCAAAGGCTTCAGAAGCGGAGTTGAAAGGCAACGAGGTATGTGCGTCGGGATTGAAACCGAGGGACCCTGGGCGGAGAGAGACGCGCGCCGGGAAACAAAAAGTCCTCAAGACACGGCGTTCACCACGCCGACGCGGTCGTATGGGAACCAGTCTGAGATATATAGAACGCGCCCGAGGGATCGATCCACGCGGCGAAGAGCTTCGGGCGCAGCTCGCCGACGACCACCACCTCCGCGCCCTCTGGCTGCGCGCCGTAAAACACCCACGCCACCTTCCGCTCGCTGCCGGCGTGCTCGAACACCCGGCTGTAGAAGTACGGCAGGTAGTCGTACGTCTCCGCGGACGACGGGTCGAGGACAGCCTTCGCGGCGTGCGCGGCGGAGGCGCGCGCGTGCGCGACGTGTTCCATCCGACTGAGGGTCGCGTCGGGGTGAAGTTCAAAGGCGTCAGTTGACGTTGAAAGGCGTCGAGGGCGGGGATTGAAACCGAGGGATGGGCGGAGAGAGACGCCGGGAAAAGTCCTTAAGGATCGGCGTTCACCACGCCGACGCGGTCGTATGGGGACCAGTGTGCAATAGAACGCGCCTGAGCGCGCCGCCGGCGCGTTTCAGCGGAAACGCGGCGACGTCGCCGATGGCGTACACGCTCTTCGGTTCGATCCCCTCGCCGGACGCGGCGAACGTGCCGTCGACGGCGATGCCCCCCGTCGGCGCGGGCGCGGCGGCGAGCCGCGCGAACGGCTCGATCGGCGCGCCCGCGCCGACGCCGACGACGACGACGTCGCACTCGAGCGTCGCGCCGCCGTCGAGCTGAGGGTCGCGTCGGGGTGGAGTTCAAAGGCGTCAGTAGGAGTTGAAAGGCGTCGAGGACGGGGATTGAAACCGAGGGATGGGCGGAGAGAGACGCCGGGAAAAGTCCTTAAGGATCGGCGTCCACCTCGCGAACGCGGTCGTATGGGGACCAGTGCAAATACCTCGACGCCGGCGGCGCGGCCGTCGTCGCCCGCGATGATTTTGGCAACCTTCGCGCCGCGATGAAACGTCGTCCCCTTGGCTTCGTACAGCTTCTCGTACTTCTCCGCGATCTCGCGCGTCCACAGCCTGGACATGATATGCGGTTCCATCATCACGACGCGCGGCGAGAGCCCGCGCGTCGCCAACGCGGCGGCGACTTCCAATCCGACGTACCCTCCGCCGATGACGACGGACCCCTTCGCGCAGCCGTCCATCGCGTCGCACAGCGCGAGCGCGTCCGCGACGTCGCGGACGCGGTGCACGCCCGGGAGGTCGCCGCCGATCGCGCTCGGGAGCTTCAGCGCGGTGCAGCCGATCGCGACGACGAGCTTATCGTACGAGTACGACTTCCCCGCGTCGGTGACGACGGTCTTTTCTTCGAGGTTCGCGTCCACGACGCGCGTCCCTAGGATGACCTCCACGCCGTGCGTCGCGTACCACTCCGCGGTCTGCCGCTCGCCGCCGCCGCCGACGCTGGTGTGGAACCCGGGCAGGCGCGCGGGGGACTCCGCGTGAAGGAACGCCTTCGTGAGCGCGGGGCGCTCGTACGGGAGGACGTTCTCGGCCGCGATCATCGTGAGCTCCGCGCCTCTTCCCGCGGCCACGACCGCGCGAGCGAAGTAGCCCGCGGCGTTGCCGCCGCCGACGAGGACGATCTTCTTCGCGATCGCGGACATCTCTGAGGTTGTGGCGGCGTGAGGCGCGTTCGAGTTGTCCGGGGGTCTCTGCGTGCGCGCGCGCGCGAGGGAGTGCGGCGGCGTCGCGCGGCGTTTCGGCGTCGTCGTCGTCATCAGATGCACTGACGTCGACAGCAGTAGCGCTGACGTCGAAGCGTCGGACGAGTACTCGTACTACGACCGAGGGACGAAGCGACGCGCGCGAGGAGGACGGCGGGCATCGCGACGACGCGCGCGGCTGCTCGGCGGTGGACCGCGCGCGCGAGGATCACCGCGGTGCGACGCGGAGGTCGTCCGCGTTCGGTCGCCGAGCATCCCTCGGACGCGCCGAGAAGGGACGAACAGAAGTCGCGGATCGGACGAAGAGATCGATCGTCTCGCGCGATCTCGCGTCGTCGCTCATCGTTTGAAACGATGCTGCGGGCGTTCGCGCGCGCGGCGCTGCGTC